TTCACTTGCGACATGGACTACGACCTATATGGTGCCCAAAAGAAAGTATGGAAAATGCTCCGCAACAGGAAAAAACCAGTTAACGAGTTCGTGCAGACCAAAGGAGTACCTATAGAAACATGGCAACAACATTTTAAAGAGCTATATGATGCTGAAGAAACGCTGAATATAAACGAAGGCGAAACAGATGTGAGTGCTACAATCAATGACGAAGAAGTAGAAGCAAAGATCAAAAAGCTAAAAAACAGAAAATCACCGGGAACGGATGGTATACCCAATGAACTTTTAAAATATGGAGGCCCGGAACTTGCAAGTAAACTGGCACAACTATTTAACAAAATATTAAACAAAACAGAAACACCAGAGGAATGGCATAATAGTATCACAATCCCCATATTTAAAAAAGGACAAAAAACCTGCCCACAAAACTATAGAGGAATAACCCTCTTAAATACAACAATGAAACTTTTCACGGGTATTCTCAAGGACAAATTGGAAAAGCAAATCACTAATGCTGAAGAACAACAAGGTTTTACAAAAGGGCGGTCTATAACAGACGCAGTATTTGTAATAAAACAAATAAAAGAAAAAGCTATAGAGTTCGGCATGCCAGCGTATATTTGCTTCATTGATTTGACGAAGGCATTTGACAGAGTTCGCCTGGGAGACATTCTAAATATATTAATAGAAAATGAAACACCGACCAGTATAACAAAGATACTCCATAACCTAAATAACAACAACGTAACCAAAGTTAGAGCAGGAGACGAATTCACTGAAAATATTCCAACACCGGGAGGAATTAGACAAGGCGACAGTTTAAGCCCCTTCTTGTTTAATCTTCTCATGGGCAAAATTATCAACAAAGTAACATCTCTTAATCTCGGATATAGAATGGGCAACAAAAGAATTGGTATGGTGTGTTACGCAGACGATGCAGCAATTATTGCCGAATCAGAAGATGATCTCCAAAGGCAGCTCTTTCAGTTCTTTCAAACAAGCCGACTATTAAATATGAACATCTCTACCAACAAAACTAAATGTATGACAATAGCAAAAGATCCGCTCAGATGTAAGTTAGTGGTTGAGGACAACCCCATAGAACAGGTGATGCAATTCAGATATCTGGGCATAGATATATCAAGCACCCATGACCCAGTAAAGGACCTGAGGAGTCAGATCAACAAAGCATCTGCACTGTCAGGATGTCTGCGGGAGATAGTCTGGTCTAATCCGTATATGCGCACAGATAGTAAAATTAGAATCTATAAGACTTGCATACGACCGATCATGACATATGGCATAGAAGTGCGCGAAGATACCAACAAAACGAAACAGATGCTAAGGGTTGCCGAAATGAAAACCCTAAGAACAATAATGGGGAAAACAAGAAGGGACAGAGTGAGAAATACAAACATTAGAGAGCAGTGCAAAATTCAAGATATTGTAAGATGGGGAAGAGGGCAAGAGGATGTGGTACAACCATGTAAGACGAATGGATGAGAATAGACTCCCAAAAATTGCCCTAGAAAACAATCCGCCTGGTTCAAGACCCCCCGGAAGACCACCTAAAAGATGGAGGGATAGTTGGCAATCTACCTCCCAAGAAATTAACCAGAGGCAGCTTCAGAATTAAACAGATCGAAAGATCTACAAAAAGTAGAAGAAGAAGAAGAAAAACTAAAATTTTTATTGATTCCGATCATATCACAAAATATTTGTTTTTTAGCTGCTTTAGCAATGAAACTTTTTAGCATTTTGAAATTCTTTCATATATATTGAAATCCCCTCGTATATGTTAAAACATCGAAGAATATTTTCAATGTATTTCTGTTTCTTATAGTACGTATTAAAACACCGAAATATTCTTTCAATCCATTTTGCGTCAACGAGTTGATAGTAAACACATTTTTAAAGTTTATTTATATATTACAGATGTATATTTCCTTGGTACTCTTTGATCGTTAAGTCGCCTTATATTGCGCGTTAAATAAATATTTCCGTTTATATGTTTTGTTTACACCGAGTTGGGCGAATGAATTAGATAAAAATAGAATGAAGATAATTACATAACTCTCTCTGAGGCCGCTGTCAGGGGCAATTGGTTTCAGTGTTATTTCAAATTTTTCTTCTTTTTCTGTGGCAGAGAGTGTACGTCCAGTTCCTAACCTCAGAAATTTTAAAGTAATTTTATTGAAATCCAGGTAACTCTTATTTTGTTGAACTTTTAAAGGAAAAATCATTATTTTCTAATAATAATTGCTTTCATAACAGGTTAGGAAATTATTATAATTAAAATTGTAGATGTTAATGTGTGGTCTAGCTGTCATATTAATTGTTCTCAGTTTTAAAATTTATTATTGACAGCTAGCTTTATTTTTTTGACATTTGTTATATACCTTATCATAAAAATACTTGTTTTGCTTTGTTTTCTTTTATAAAAAAAGGTTAACCATTATGCATAGTTCCATTTAAAAGCTATTTTTCATTTCTAATTGTTTCCGTTACAAATTGTCGCCCATTAGCAATTGTAAGTTTTTTATAGTATCTCTAACATCTAGAGATTTTAAACCCATAGTAAAATAGTAAGTTTGTAATATTTTGTATTTTATTGTTACTATTTATAGTTGTAACTGTTTATGGTGGAAGAGCTTTTTTTTCATCCAGCAGGAAGAATCCCTGAGTAAACGTTTCTTTTTGTTTTGCTTACTCTATCTCTAGCCCCGTAATTTCTGTCCTCAATGTTTAACCCCCTATAGTAATACTCTATGTGGTAGGCAAAATAATCGTCACAGCGTAAGTACACATATGACGAATTGCAAAAGTAAAACGATAATGATGTCAATAAACTTTTTGAAGACATTCTCGACGATCGGCTATTTATTTAGATATAGGAGGAAATAGTGATGCTGACGACGAAATATCCATTTTAATAAGTGTGCCACTTAACACCTGTCATTTTTGTGGTTATACAACTACTAGAGAAACAGAAATTACAACCGTAGATTCAAATATCAATGATTATGACAGTGATGACAGTATCATCATCATAGTCATTAACATCTTGGCAGATATGTGGTTCATCATTAAGCTTCAGCAGCTTAGATACATGCCTTAGTATACTGCTTGTTAAAAAGCTTTTTCGTGATGTCTGCCCATCCCTGTAAAGATCTGCAGCGTTGGTGTTAACCAAAGAACTTTAAAATTCTAGAGTTAACAGTACTATAGAGACGTTGATTAAAATTAATTTGATATAAAATTGAGACTTTTGTACTTTTAATGCCCACATTTCAAAAGCGTTTATGCGTTGTCTCTCGGATTATTTGACTACACATGTCTCGCATACATAGTGAAATATGGTAAAGACCAAAGATGTGACGAGTCTTTTCTTGTTTGTCATAGTATTGTGCCGATCAGGCCATACTCCATTTAGTTCAGTCATTGCTGCTCTTAGTTATATGCGTCTTTGAATTTCGGGTTCACAATTGCCTGTGTTATCAACTAGAGCCCCAAGGTATATCATAGAGGAGTCTACCCCACTACCCGCAATAGTTGGGGTTTAAAAAATGTGTTCTGGGCGATCAATAACATAAATGTTGGCCTTGCAGTAGTTAACCATGAGTCCAAGCTTAGAACTTTCTACCTCAAGTTTTTTTAATAAGTTTAGAAATTCTTCTGATGTAGAGACTAAAAGTATAGTGTCGTCTGCAAAACACAAGTTAGATATCTTGACACCGTCTAGGTTTACTTTTCTCTCCAAACCATCCAAAACTCTGCGTATTATGAACTCTGAATAGATATTAAATAATAATAGAGATAAAATGCATCCTTGGAGTACTCCCTTCTCCTACGTGCATTAGTCAAATAGGCATCCATTGATTCGAATATATGCCAGGTTATCTTAATACAGTTTGCCAATAAGATGAGTTACGTGTTTAGGTACACCCTTAGATAATTTCTAGTACAACTTAAATTTACATACAGTAAATAGGTAAATGTTTTGACCTTTTATAAATCATCAAGTTTCTGAAACTGTATGGAAGTTTATAAAATATAAGTAGTTCCCAACATAAGCAGCTATAACACATTTAGTAATTAAAGAAATGATTGCATTATTAGAATGACATATTAGTGTAGTCTAAACTTACTTAAAGTAGCACAAAATGAATAGTGCAACAACTGTACGTCCGAATATTTGATAGCGATATATCTCTGATAGTATATGATCAAATTATTATTTTTAATTATATTGTGGTGTGTTTTTTTTTTGAACGGGAGAAATGCAGTTACGCTCTTTTGATGGCCCGTTTCAGAGGTATTGTGGGAGTCCCAGCCCTATCAAACCCACTAAAACTCATTTTCTGCGCAACGTATTAGGCTCTCTGTGTTATATTTTGCAGACAAAGACAGTAAACTCCAAAACGCCACGTTCATTGCAATACATGCAGGAGACCGTGGTATCCTTTCCGAAACGCTTATTTAATCGAAAGGGCAAGATTAGGTATTAGTCGCTTTGTCCATTGTGCATTTTTCTGGTTTGAATTCCACTTTTTCTGTCATTTTACGAGACGTGTCTGACTTACCGTCTTGTTTATACATTCTGGATTGTCGTGCACTGTCCTATTAAAAAATATTAATGCTCTCTCTTCAGATAGTCGTTCTATAACAACTGTCCCAGTAACATAATTATACTAGTAAATAATATATTTAATAAATATTTTCATAAATCATATCTATAGGAATCGTAACTGACAATAATTAACAGGTTCATTGCGTAAGGCGCGGATCCGCGTACAGGCCGTTCATTCCTTAGTGCTAACGGCGCGGATTCGCGCTTTATTCATGACTTCTATTTATAGTATGATATTTTATTAGCACGAGAGTTGTGCGTTTATTTGCTACATTAGCATCTAAAGGTAGCATCAGGTAAAGGAAGTTACATCACAGGTGTCACTTTTGTTACTTCATTTTATTTTGACACGTGTTTGACTATTGCAATGATGGAGAACGCAGAGCCAGGTTGTTCTCAGCCAAAACGTAAAAAAATATGTGTAAAAAACCCTAAAAAGTTAACAGAAGAAGAACTTGAATACTTTTTAACACAATCAGATAGTGAAGATAAATATATTTCATCGAAAGACGAATATATTCCATCTACAGACGACAAGGATGGGGATGAGTTGGGTAAGTTGGAAACAAGTGAGTTTAAAAAGGTGGTAAATTTGTATTTTTGTAGGTGACGACGATATTTCGGGTATTGTTTAAGCCATGCAAAACGAACAGGAACCGAATGAAAATTTAATTCCTAATGCAGGCTTTGGGGAAGCACCCAATGAAAATTAAAATCCAAATGCAGGAAATCTAAATACACATGAATGGCAAAATGATCATGATGGAATGAAACAATTTGAGTGTATTAGATGTTGCAACTTATTGGTAGAGTCACCACAAAGTAAAACACCTTTTGATTACTTTCGTCTTCTGGCGGATGAAACTTTTTTTGAGCCGATAGTGACAGAAACGAATCTGTATGCTAAACAGTTATTTCTATCGGGTGTTACAGAAAGATCTAGAATAACAAATTGGAAACCACTCGTTACCGAAGAATTACGTAAATTTTTTGGGCTACTCTTACACATGGGGACATGGAAAACTAACAAAACGCAATATTATTGGAAAACTGATAGTCTTTTAATCTGTTTTCCAGAAAATATGAGAAGAGACCGTTTTTTGTTAATTCTTTGGTGTCTGCACTTCGCCAAAAAGCCAAAGGTAGGAGAAGTTATAGAGGACCAGCTGTACAAAATTCGTTCATTGTAAAATTATTTTATTCAAAAAATGAATGACATATATCAGTCTGACAAAAATCTCTCCCTTGATGAATCAGCAGTTTTATGGCGTGGTTGTTTCTGTTTTAGAATGTATATTAAAAATAAGCGCCATAAATTTGGTATAAAAATGTACGTACTTACTGAACCTAACAGATTAGTTCAAAATATGAAAGTGTATGCTAGTAAATTTGATACTACAATCTGAACAGATCATTCAAAAAAAGTTGTCAAGAAATTGATGCACAAACATTTAAATTAGGTTACTCAGGTTGTTTATGGACAATTTTTACATGAGTATGGACCTTGCCAAAACACTTATGAAGAACAATACATATTGTACAGGAACTCTTCTGGAAGAAGACAAGGAAATCCAGTAGAAGTGACTAAAGCCAAGTTAAAAAAGGCGAGTCAGTAGCAAAATTTAATAACGGCGTTGTTGTTGGCAAATGGGTCGATAAACGGGAAGTAATGTATAGAATGTGAGAACAAACGAAAAAAAGAAACTTAAACCTCTTCCAATTGCCGAATATAATAAAAATATGAGTGGTGTTGATCGCAAAGATCAAATGATATCATACTATCCTTGCGAAAGAAAAACCCTTTGCTGGTACAAAAATTGGGTATATATATATATTTATATTTATATACTACAAGTGATTTTACTTAGCTCTTATTTTTTATTTAACAAATATTCTGAAACGAAACTATCTCTTATGACTTTCGACTAGAAATTATAGGAAATTTACTACACTCTCCTCAGAAAAATGTTCCTAAAACATTGAATAACTTGTCTGAATGGCATATTTTGAGCAAAATAGCTGAGAAAAATACAAAAGGAGAAACGAAACGTAAAAAGTGCAGGGTGTGTACAGTGAAGAAAAAAATAAATACGATTTATGAATGTCTTATTTGTATTGATAAAACTTGTCTTTGCCTAGGCGCATACTTCGTAACATACCCTGAAGACCGAAAATTACTCTAGTTAGTGTATTTTTTGTAGAATTTGTTACCTATAACGTTCAAGTTGCTCTTATTATATTATTTTTAGTGTATGTTTTGTTACTTTTCAAATAAATATAATTTTTTGTAGCCTTTCATTTCAAAAATAAGACGCGAATCAGCGTCCGCTAGCATTCGGTGTGAAAATTTAAAGTGTGGTGCTAACGGCGCGGATCCGCGATCTTTTGACATTTGCTCCCAAATAAGGCATATAATGTCTAAAACATCTAAAACATATTCAAGGTCATCATACCCAAGTTCCTAGCACTTGGCATATTCCTATTAGATTACGTACACAGTGAAGCTGTTTAATTTAAATGTCATATAAAAAAATTCAGATAAAGCTCGTTACATGTGTAGCAAACTCCATAAATCAGTATTTGAATCAGTATTGGTGTTTCTTCCGAACTAGAAGGTTGGCTCGTGAAGCGCGCTTAATTACATTTTGCTCGAATTTAGGCAGTTTTGTTTTGGTTTGTTATTTCATAAACTCATAGATAAGGTAAGTACAAGTTTATACTTTTATAATGAGTAACTCTTCTGACGGGGATGCTTCCCCGTCTGGAAAAGATCCACCAGAAGTAAACGGTGGGCAAAACGAAATGGAAATTGATAACAAAATATATAATTTAGACAACAAATATGTTTCGACTGACACTGGACCGTACTATATTGTTTTAAAACCAGTCGATAAAAATAGTCGATTGTCAGCGGTTAAAGTTGGTCATTATCTATTTAAACATACACCATTTAATAAAGATGTTATTGATATATATAAGATCATTACTCTATTAAATTTGATTTAATTATTCTTAATGAAACTTGGTTATCTAAAAAAAATATTTCATTTACCAACTTACAATATACTACATGTATACAGAACTGGTGGATTTGGAGGCACTGCTATACTTATCAAAGATTCCCTATCTTATCATAAAATTTCGATCCGTAAAAACTTTAATTCCAAAATAGAAGTATGCGCAGCATATATTGATGAATTTAAAATAACTTTAGCTTCCATTTATAAATCTCCCAAAATAAAAGCAACTAAGACTGATTGGAGTAATCTTTTTTCACAACTACAGGGTGATGTCATTATATGCGGTGACTTTAACTGTCATCACAGCCTTTGGGGTTCTACAATAGATAACTCACAAGGAAATCGACTTGTAGAGGCTATAGACGAAACTAACCTGATTATTTTAAACGACCGACAACCTACTAAGATAGACACAACGAATGACCTTCTGCCATAGATCTTACTATTATCTCACCTAGTCTTTTAAGTTACTCACAATGGAATCCTCTAAATGATACACTTGGTTCCAACCATCTCCCTATCCATATTAATATATCTCGGGAATATATCCCCACTAACAAAACACCTTCTAGAAAATGGACTGTATATACACTATCCCAAAACAGTTATGAAGCATGCACGGAAGCTTTTGAGAATGTTATGCATAAGGTAAGTATATGGACAGAAGAAACAGGCATGACTCTTTCAACAGAAAAATGCTCTATCATGGTTTTTACCAGGCGTAGACTACGTGCTCCAGAGAGCATAACTCTGTGTGGACGTACCCTGTTGGTAGTTAAAGAGTTTAAGTATTTAGTTATTATTGTTGACACCAAATTACTATGGTCGAGTCACATAAATCACTTAATAAACAAATGTGAGAAAGGCTACAATTTACTTAGGTGTGTAACAAATCGAAGTTGGAGTGCAGCTCCTGGTATAGCTTTATTGTTTTATAGAGCCTACATGCGTTCTATCATTGACTATAGATGTTGTTTATACGAATCATCTTGTAATACCAATCTAAACATAATAAACAGAGTTCAACATAAATGTCTTAGAACCTGCATCGGTGGGATGGTATCATCACCGGTGAAAACAATACTGGCAGAGTGTAATGAGTTGCCTTTGTACTTGCGTCGGCAAATGTTATCACAAAAATATCTTTTAAAACTAAAATCCCTTGAGTTAAGCATGATCAACAAATTAAGTGATATTGCAAAACAAGGACCTAACAAACCGCTATTGGAAACTAAAAAATTCTCCTCCACTTGCAGAAGCTTTTGTTGAGACTAATGCTGATCACATTTCTTTTAGTAAAAATAAAAAATTGCTTATGTATACTATACCCTTTAGATCACTAATGAAACTACACAGAGTTATAATACCCAATTATACAGAATATAATCAAATATATATTAACCTTTATACCTTTGGTTAAGAAAATATTAATGAAAGCTAGGCAGTGTCCTTTGATATTTAAATTATGTAGTTTTTTAACTATTAGGTGTTTCCAAGAAATGCTGTTGTTGTTGGTGCTGGTTTTAACTATTGCAAAGCAATTCATAATTTGGAGAGTATATAAATTGGTAATTTTAGAATATTAAAACGTGACAAAAGCAAATATTTATGAAGTATACAGTATAGTGTAGTAAAATATTTTATAATCTTAAATGTAAACATTGTTTATCTCGTGGTGGATATTAAAATACATGGACGTATAAATAATTAAAATATGCATTTTGCAACATTTTATAAGTTTTTCGGATTGTTAATTGGTAATGAATAAATAATTTTTTTGCAAAAATCTCTAAAAAATATTCTTCCTCTCGTATTCGGGTTTTTAACGATGTCTCTCGGCTTCTGAACAACCAGCCAGTCCAGACCTGCTTGCCGATATATCTCACAAGTTTAATTATTCTTACCAATTTTTTTCTTATGGTTCAAGTATTTATACTCAATAATTTGTTCTATTAGTTCTCCATCAATCTGAAAATTGTTGCTCACTATCAGGTTGGTCAAGAATTTTGTTTTTTAAAAATTGACATGCAGCCCAATGTTAGTACCTGCTTTCCTCGAGTGTTCTAACATTTTTTGAGTATTACCTAGGTGTCCTAGGTTATCAGTAATTAAGACAATATTATCAGCAGATTGGAGGTATTTTAAGTATTTACTATCAAAGTCACACCAACACTATCCCATTTTTGATTTTTAAAAACGTATTCTAATACTGTTGTAAATATTTAGGAGATTAGATATCTCATCCATGAGATACCATGGACAAATAAAGTCACCAAAGAAGAGGTACTACGGAGGATGAACAAAACCACGGATCTGGTCAACATCGTCCATGGTCGTAAGCAGATAATGAGCTACTCCAATGCATTTTGCAAGGTAAAATTTAATATATATATATATATATATATATATATATATATATATATATATATATATATATATAGTGTATATAACGACGCTAAGAATACAATTCTTTGGTAGGTAACTTTCGGGAAAGCGTCAAATCAAGGATCGGCTAGAGATGGTATAAGCCAGTT